GAGAGAGAGAGAGAGAGAGAGAGAGAGAGAGAGAGAGAGAGAGAGATTCGGCCAGCTCTGTCCTCACTGTAGAAGTGGGCTAGTCATCCTCCTGGGAGGAGGAGGAGTTTGGCCAGGTTTCCTCTCTCTGTTTCAGTCTCATGCTTTGTTAGGACAAAGCATGGAGGTCCTTGCCAGATGGCACCAGACTTTTGGACTTCTCAACCTCCTGCAGCCAAATAAACTCCTGCTGTTTGTAAATACCCAGGCTGTGGTATCTGTTATAGCAACAAAAAAAATGGACTGAGAACCCTGATGGCCAGAGTTCCCAATGAGCACCCCTGGGAACACACAGGCTGGGTGGGGAACAAAGTAACCTGATACAAGGGTGTGGAAAGACGGTCTAACCTAAACCCACCAATGTGCTTTCCCTGCTGACCGGGAAAGAACAAACACACCCCAAACTTGGACAAACACTCCCAGACTTGAACATCCACTGGTTACACAGGGCAGTTGGCTGCAGATGGACTCTTCTCATCTGTGGCCCTTGTTCCAGTTTCCTGCTCATTCCCACTGATACAGCCTCCTCTGGGAAGACCACCTCTGAAGGCCTCCATTGAGGCAAGACCCTGCTGCCCCATAACCAGCCTGCCTCCTCTATGCAGTTCCTCTCAATCCCACTTCTGTGCACTCTGCACAGCGCTGAGCTGAGTGTGCAACTTTCTAGCTCACGTGCCCTCAGAGGCTCCTTTCTACTCCGGGAATAGAGGGATGGTGGTCCTCAAAGTGCAGTCTGTTCCCTTGCCTCTCTGCTGGTCTCCAACATCTTGGAAGCTCCTCTGCAGTGGAACCGTATGAAAACATAATGGGTGTTGGACGAATGGCTACTTGGATAAAATATCCAGGGCCTGGCAGTCATGGTTCACACCAGGGCCCATGGCAAGGCAACAGGAGGGCTGGAGACATCCTCCAGCACCCTGTGGCCATGTGGGAGGCTGAGGTTTGTTGAGAGACCCCAGTGAGTGTGAGGGGTGTGTCAGGGCCCTATGAACTGTGGCCTGCCGGCACACCCTCTGGAGCCCAGCTGGGGTACACCCAAGCTCTTGCACAGTGCTGGAACACAGCAGGAAGGTCCTCACACACGTGGGTTGTGAACAAATGAGGCAGCCTTTTCTCATATCCCTAATTAATCCCAGCACCAAGCTGGGGGACCAGGTGGGCTGGGCGTCTGCCAGTGAGCGAAGGGGAGGGGATGGAGGGAGTGCTGCAGAGCCACACTGGCTCTCCTCTCCCACTCCTGCTGAGCCCCCTTCTGGGCCAGGACTCTATTTGGGAAGAAGCTTCAGGGAGGGCTCAGGCAAACCCTGTTGGGCCAGAACCCTCACGTATGACCTGTTTTCCTCCTCACTCCTATTCTGGGAGGTGGTTTTCTGGAGTCCCTGGGCTCTGAGTCACAGAGCAAGTCATTAGAGGCTACAGAAACAAAGGGGCAAACTTAGGCCCATGTCACCAACATGTGAGGCTCTTCTTGTTTTACAAATGAAGAAGTCAAAACTAAAACAGATGAAGTCACTTGTCCCAGATTACAGCTGATTTGCTTGGCAGGCAGAGTCACTGCAGCTTGGGTCTTGGTCCCTGGAGTGAGGGCCAGGACCAGACATCATAAAATGTGGTTGGACTGGGCATGAGGGTGCATACCTGTAATCCCAGCACTCTGGGAGGCTGAGGCAGGAGAACTTCAAGTTCAAACTTAGCCTGGGCCACTCAAAGACTTAGTGAGACTGCCTCAAAAAAAAAAAAATAATAATAATAATAATATGGAGATATAGTTGAGTGTGAAGGTGGCTCTGGGTTCAATTCCCAGTACTGCAAAAAAAATGGGATAGGGCCACAGGCTCTACTCTTCCATGCACTAAGAATTCCTTCCCCACCTCTAGCCCCCGAAGTGTCACCCCCAAGGCTGCTGACATACTATAGTATAAAGGAAAAGAAAACAAAACACCCAGGTAGGTCCCACTGCAATCTATTTACTTGGCTTGGCAAGGCAAGGAGATGTCTCCCCCAGGGCAATCCAGCCCTGGGCATGTTCAGCTGCATTTCTGCCCCACCCTCACAGACCCTGAGTCCTTCAAGACCAGTACTTGGGTCTCCTTGAAGTGCGGCTTCACTTAATCCTAAAGACCATATTTATGAGCAGGACATCAGTCTTAGTCTCACTCCAAGGAGACACAGACTGTTTAATAAAAGTGCTAAGTGTTAAACTGAGTCACCAAGATCCTCATGAAAATGCTCCAAGAAGAGCAAGGCTTTCTTGCCATTCACCTTTGTTCATAAAGTAGGCCAAGAAGACCCCAAAACAAAACAAAACAGTCCTTGAAGACTCTCACCAGGCCACACAAGTAGAGACGAGGTGGCCAGCCCTGACCTTCACCCAGGCATTGTGAACATTCCCACCTGAAGCCCAACCCAGCATCTCCAGCACCACAACTGGCCCGGTGTCATGCTGTCCCCTGCCAGGAACAAGGCCACAGGCGCACTCTGAAACCTGGGCTATACACCAGACTCTGCCCTCAGCACCTCACAGTGGGCATACTGGGGGAGGGTTTCAAGATGTAGCATCCCTGGGGCTTCGGGGTATCCAAGAATACTCCAAGGGAGTACCCAAGCTCTTATCTCGATTAATGGCAGTATACTTTTCAGAGATGGCTTTCAGAATCTGAGGGCTCTGTAAGTCAAAACAAGTTATGAATCTGCAGAGTGACTTTTTTGGGGTGTTGTGGATTGAACCCAGGGACCCCTGTATGCTAGGCAAGGGCTCTACAATTCAGCTACAGCCCACCCCTGCGACCACCAGATTGAGTAACCCCACAGGACCCTTCCTTCCAGAACCCAAGTATTCTTGGGTGGTATGTAATTAAATGTAAATCTTGCTCCTCATCCTGAAAGGCTGTCAGCTGTGGCTCCAGGAAATTCAGATTTCTTGGCATGTGTATTTGTGTGGGAGCTGATGATGGAACCCGGGGCCTTGCAGCCCAAGCTTTACCACTAAGCTATACCTTACACCCTCTTACTTTTCTGACTGCAGGGAGAGCCTTGGGATCCAATGCCACACAGCTCCCGGGATCACTCTCTGTCCAGGTGTCCATTAGTCCTCCAGCCCCCAAAAGAAGGTAGGGCCATCTCAAGGCTGAGCTGGAAGAAGACACCAGTACACCCCATGGTCTGTCAAGAGCGGCTCACCCCACCCATGGCCTGTCTCCTGTAGCAGGGACCCCAGGCAGTGGAACACAGTTCATCCAGGCTTTGGGTTCCCTTTCCCAGGAGAAACCCCTGGAACTTCAGAGTCATGCTCCTGTGAGGAACCTGGTTTTCATTAAATAGGGTAAAGTAATCATTAAAGGCCATGTTCAGAAGAGGCAAAAATAGGGCCGGAGATATAGCTCAGTAGTTCCGACGCCTGCCTTGCAAGTGCTAGGATCTGAGTTCAATCCCCGGTACCAAAAAAAAAAAAGTGGAGATCCTGAGCAGAAGGCTCCAGGAGGATGAGGGTAAGGAAGACCAGCCTGTCCCCTGCCTTCCTTGGCTGACCAATGGTGGGGGCAGGGAGAGCTTGGGCTCCTAAGGGTCCAGTAACTACAGCAGTAGCAGCTGGGGGTGGAGAGTGGGGAGCCTTGGCCCAGATAATAAGCAATTGTTAATGTGATCCATATGGATCCTGACTGGCCTCTCTGTTTAACAGGATGATAATGGCAGGGAAAGAATGCTGGTCTGTGGGGAAGGGAAGGGGCAAAGTCCTCCCCAGCTTGGGGGTGGGGAGAGTCATCCAGGAGGGGGGAGGGGGAAAAGGAAGAAGAAGAGGGGCGGAGAGGAGACTGGGGTCTCCACCAGAACAGAGCTACTTACCTGAAAATGGCCAGATTCCATGCTTTGTGGGCTGCCTGGCTAAATGCCCTTACAAACCCCTTTCACTCAGCCAACATTTATGGGGCACCCACAAGGTGCCGAAGGACAAGGGGGGAGAAATATATGCTCTGCCTCTGCTCTCTGGAGGCAAAGCCTAATTTGGACTCAGTCACAAAGGCAAAAGGAAGGCACAGGTGCAGGCCTGGGAGACCACGGAGGGAGGGGTAAGTGGCAAGATCTGGCAGCTCTGGGGAGGCTACAGTGGAAAGTGTGGCATCAGAGCTGGGCCTTGAAGAATGAGGAGGTTGTGGCAAGACAGGGACAATGGGAAGGCATTTGGCTGAGGGACCAGCAGGAGCAAAGGCAGAGAGGCGTGAAATTGCGTGGAGAGTCTGAGATCTCAGCAATAAAGCTGCAGCCCAGGCAAGGGAGGGGAGGGGATTCTTGAACCATAAAAAGCTGTGGCCATGGATGACCAGCAAGAAGGAAAAAGCTCTGGAGCACCACACAGGGGTCTGGGTCCCTCTCCCCTGCCTCCCTCCCACTGTGTACTGGAATCCTAAAACCAGGGATTCCCTGGGCAGGGCGAGCTCATGGCCACAACACAGCCAGACTCACACAGGAAGGACCTGGCAGGCCAAATTCATTCCTGTATCTCTCCGCCCCCTCTTCTCCTGTGGAAATGGGGGTCCCTGAAGACTGGAGGTTATCTGGGTCTCACTAAGAGCAACTCCACTGCTCCACACAGCTAAATCCCTTTTGGCCCAAGAGGGCTTCCCCCAGAAAATATTGCAGCAAGGGCAGGAGGGTCGCTTCTGGCTGCTGTGAACACCAATGGATTCAAGTGGAAATAAATGAAATGGTGTTAAACGGGGAAAGGGGGATTTACGAGGGCTGTCACCCGAGCCGGCAGAGCCAACCCGGCAAGCCCCGCCCCTTTCCTCGCCTATCCCAGTTAGTCCCGCCCCG